GTTGCCTAGACCACGGCCTTGCCCAACACAAGTTATAAATTCGGGCATCGAACCCGAGACCCCAGGATTACAAGGCCATCGTTCTAACCACCGTAGCGGTAATTCTCGTTATATTCACGTAAAATGTTCGATATGAGGTTAATAATAGCACGTGGTATAGAAAAACAACAAGTGTAAGCTCTTACGTGAAATCAGTCGTTAAGCCGTTGTCATAATGACGTTAATAGTAACAAGATTCGGGTACTCATCTTTTAACTTTCGTGCATATATATATCACTCTAGGAGAGTCCTTTATATAATCTACGTGTACAAATCTAATGAAATGAGATCGGGTGAACAGAAAGGCCAAGAAATTTATAATCCTCTCCACTCCCGAGGGCTAACTCGTTTCGCCCTCAGTTGCTACGCGAAAAGAAATAGTTCCTTTGCTGTTCAAGTTCAGAAATGTACGATTTTGGTGTAATCTGTGTCGATTTAAAATGAAACTGGGAGGCGAAATGTTTTGAAATAATCCACAAAACTTATGTTGTGAGATGGGATATTGCGCCGTGTAGTCATGTATAAACTGACCAAAGCTTCGGAGGAGTTTACAGATTCCATTATCAGGGCGAAAGGAGAGAGTAAGCAATCTTTTTTACTTTCGTCAGTTTTTAGCATTGTATAAGGCTGACCATTCCAAAAGAAATTCTCATCGCCATGAGAACCTGAAATGGGCTGTGATGTTACGGGCGAAACGCCTCTCATTATCAAACTCGTTTTCTCGTGGAGCGTTGCATTTTCACAGACTTCGTGGAGAGAGCGTCAGGTTTCATGTACACGAAACTTTTTATTTTTCGAAGGTGCGTGTTTTCTGCAGAGTTCTCTCTCTACTTTTATACTTTGAACTTGTGTACATAACCTCACTTTCCAGGTCTCCTTAGTTCTTTCAACATATGCGTGGCCTCTAACTCTGGAATACGCTGGATTAAACAAACAAAAATATACGCTGTTTGCTGTGATACAAGACCGACCCGAACTAGGGAGAAATATGGCTGGAATTTTTACTTCAGAGCGTGTGGGCAAGGATTAGGAACACGGATTTTGCTGTAAAGACGTCACAATGTACGTACTTTAAGTAACTCTGCAAACAGACGTCGAGGCACCTCGTGGATTTCGTGTCGACAAAGGTACAAGGGTACTAAAAAAACACGAGAGGCAATATATTTTATAACACCCCGGCAGATTTCACGCTAGATGGCAGCATGGAGAGACATACACCAGTTTTAAGTCATATGAATTTATTAAAAAACCGATAGTCTCTGACCCCTACGCCTATTTCAGCTTCCATTTTGAGGCCTGTTACTTCAATATCTAAAAATACTTGTCAGCAAAAACGTCTCGATATTACAAATATTTTCGCCTTTTAATAATTTATCATTATTCTTGAACACTGCGTATAAATATGAGAACTGCGGATCTAATACCAACAGCTTCTACTATTATAACCATGACAACGCTTACGTAATATCACATTTTAAATATTTTAATTGCCTGTTGTTTTGAATATATTAATATTTCAATATCTCGACATCACTTCACAGTTAATAAGCATACTTGTAGTTATTACT